CGTAATCCCCACAATGTCCGGGCTGGTGTCAGCCAGCAGGAGGGCGAGTACCTCCTGCTTGTTCCCCATGCTACGGGCATTAGTGTAGAGGCATTTCAGGCCTCCTGGAGATGTGGTTACTGACCCCCTAGTCCCAGCGTTCCCCTTGTCCCCTTAATTTGATTTAAAGCAAGGCTGTCTAACTCCTAAATGGTTGGGGACCATCTACTGTATGGGCTTCCTAGCATGTGCTCCCATGTGCCCCCCCTCCCCAGATCTTTGAGCCTTGGGGTCCCAAGCCCTGTGGGCTGTACTACCCTGCTCCCAGGGATGGGGACAGAAGGCAAAAATCAGAGGAGAGTAGGGAGGGAACCTGGCTGCAGTACCACCTGAAACAGTGCAGGGAGCAGCAGCTCTGTGAGAGCCCAGGGGCTGTAATTTAACCCATGCAGCCTGCCCATGGGCTGTGTTGGATAGCCCTGATTTAAAGTAAACAGGAATTGCTAATGTTATACCTTGAGCTAGTTGTCAGCAGGCTAATAGTTCATTTAAGAAAAAATGGCATTGCATATCTTTCCTTTTGCAGACCATGGATTCTGAATCAAAACACAGTTTCATAGGAAGTTTTCTTCAGCCTCCAGATAAGAGCAAGTATTCTACCTTTGCTCACAGAAAATCAAAGAAATTAACAACTGCTGTGGGACACCTGCCTTCTGGTCCAGACAATCAAGGTAAATGGAGGTGGTGGGGGGAACAACAATAACTGAAAATCTTGGTTTGAAATCTATTAAGTAAGCTAAACAAGGTAAGTTTTCACAGGACAGCAGGACTTTTAAATGACCAGGTAGACATTTGAATAAGATGGCTTTCAAAGGGAATATAGTTTCTCCTTCTATAGCTATGGCTGTATAATGAAAACTATTGAAAAATCAGGTCCTAGATGTTAATTTTTTACCTTGAAAATTGTCAGGTGAGCAAAATGCTTTATAGTGGCAGAAACAGTTAGTTTATTTTTTTTTCCATTAAATTTTTAGCATGTTACCAAAAAAAGACTACAGTTGCAACTTCATAATAAATTTGGACCCTAATGTTATCTGGTCCCAAAATTCTGCTTTTAAATTTCTGTAGCGAACTATCACTGGTAATGAGCAAATGTACCGGAAATTCTGATTTGGCTCAATACTCTTTCAATATTGTCAGGTTGAAAAATGTCAGCCCTTGAAAGTCTTCTAAAATGTTTAACTTTCTCTTGTGTCCTTAGTTTGCCCAAACAAACAACATTATATCACAACGTTTGAAACATAGGTATGCTGTAAGGCAGATTCATGAAAGAAACTATTTAACATTATACTGTTCTTGCCATAAGGAGGGAAATGCCATTATTTTAAGCACTAGAAGCACTTCTGTCAACTTTTTGAAAGCAGACATTAAGGGGAGAGGGAGCAGAAATAGAGAATGTCTCTGTCAAATTTCTAGATAATGCAAACTGCTTTTCAGAAGTGAGAGAAAAATCTATTATCTGGTTTAGTTTTAGTTTTTGCCTGCAGTACCTATGAAACGTATCCTTGATGTAGGGGAGATGTGCACAGTTCCTGTTCAAGAACAGTGGAAAGACATAGTATTAATTAGGGGTCCACTGATAAAGATTTTCTTGGCCGATACCAATAGCCAATTATTAACCAGCCATATCGGCCAATACCGATCTTATAACCTACTTACAGGAATGCAGGCAGGCACCGTGGAGAACAGTGCCTTGCAAGAAAGTTTGTGGAGGGGAAGAGGTGTGGGGGATGGAAGTGGTGGAAGGGGGTGCAGATCAAGGTCCCCACAGTGAGGGAGAGAGGGGGGCAGGGGCTGGTGATGGGAGCACTGCCCAGCCAGAGTGGTGAATGGGACCCGGGGTGGGGAGTGGGATGGAGCCATGGGTGGCTTGTTCAAGGGATCAGCATCCTGGCGCTCAAAAATGGCAGTGGCGGCGCTTGAATTCAGGCTCATCAAATGTGCTTTAGTTTAAGTGCTGCTGCCACCATTTTTAAGTGTAAGTACACTTAACTGCAGAGGAGCTGAGTGGGGTGAGGGCAGATGCGGGCTGCTTGCTGTGGGTTTGGGGCTCTCTGCTTTGCTGCCTTTGCCCCAGGAGTCCCGACTGGCCTTGTGTCCCCTGCCCGCCCAGCAGCAGGAAACGCAACTCGCTGCCCTCACTGCTGCCAGGTGGGCAGGGAAGGCGCAGGTGACGTGGGGCTCCTGGGGCAGAGGCAGGAGAGCGGAAAGTTCCGAGACCACAGGGGGCAGCCAGCATCTGCCCCGCGTACAAATTCGGGGGGGGGCACATGTCCCCCCATGCCTCCTTTTGGGGGGGTGCACACAGTGGCAGGGAGCTGCCCCCCAGTCCCCACCCTCCCTGTGCCCCCTGGACGAGCTGCCCATGGCTCTGTCCTGCTCCCTACCCTGGGTCCTATTCACAGCCCTGGCTGGGCAGTGCCCCCAGCCCCTGCCCCACTCCTTCCCTCACTGTGGGGGCCTTGATCTGCCCCACCCTCATGCCCACTTCCCGTCCACAAACTTACCTGCAAGGGCGCTGCTCTCCACGCTGCCTGGCTGCATTCCTGGCCACGTCCAGAGGACCTGGTCAGAAGGGATATTATATTTACTGGTGCCATTACCGGCTACACCGGCCAATAAAAGTCAATTGCTGATAAGATAATTTTCCTTTTATTAGCACCAGTCCGATATGGTACTGATATATCGGTGCACCTCTAGTATTAATACTGTTTTTACATAGTTTTTAAGACTATAACGTGGATATTTACAAAGAAATATTTGAGAAACAAATCAAAACTTTTCAAAACAAATTAAGACTTACCAGAAAAATATATTGTTATTTCATAATGCTAACTGTTGGTGGGGAATCATTACAATTTCTTTGGCTTAACACTGAAAAAATAAATGGGGTTGCTACACTGCAGTGTACAAACCCATTGTTAAGGCTTCATTCGTCATTGTTGAATTGTTCAGTAGCTCTGATGGCAGCTCTGAAAACTCTTCAGGAAAAGATCCATCGTTTAGAGTTGGAGAGGTCGCAGGCTGAAGAGAACCTGAGCAGTCTTTCTGTAGAGGCTGCTCAGTACAAAAAAGCCTTGCACCATGAATCCTGTGAGAAAGATATCGCCCATCAGGAACTGATGCAACAGAAAAAAGGTATTTTTTTTTCCAGGAGTTGTGAAAGACCAACATGCATCTGTTATAATTCTGAATTGAACAACTGAGCAAGTTTGTTTTGACCAGCTGCTATTTAATTCAGACTTTGGTTTCAGTAAGTATCTTCCTTCCAAGTCATGATACCGTGACAATTCAAGTCCTTATTTTGTTCTTGACAAGCTAATTTTTTATAATAGTAAAACAATATTTGGTTACTTGAAAGCTTGGTGCCAAATAAACAGGCTTTAGATAATGCACATTGTATTAAAAAACAGAGAGAATGTGTGCACTTGCATGTTGTGTGCTCACGTGTGAGTGTGAGAATATGGTTATTTCACTTTGAACTGAAGTTTTGGGCTCCCAGAATTCTTCATCAGTCTGTCTTTGCTGATGTTCTTTGAACTCTAGCACTGAAATGCCTAAACTGGACCAAACGCTGCTATCTGCCACCATTAAGTGCTGCCTGTTTAGCACTCCAGTCTGGCAAAGAGTGCTGCTGGGAAGGGAGGGAAGGAGCTGGATTCTAACTGGAGTTTTTAATATCAGCATAAATTCAATTAAGCCAGTAGCTAATTCCATATGTTTGTAACAGTGATTCTCAGCTGTGGCACCCTGGGGTGCCTTAAGATCTTTTCAAGGGGGACTCCAGGGTGCCACACAATCTTAATACTCCTAGGTGTGCGAACATGATTCACAAATTAACCCCAGACATTTCAAACAGGAATCCATAGTGTTAAAAACAGTCTGATCTGTTGTAGTCTTTCTGAGTTTTTTTCAGCAGAAACACTGCTCCATTATTTTTCTGTAGTCAAAAAAAACAAGCAAAAACAAAGAGTGTTTTCTGAAGGGTGCCTCAAGTCTAAGAAGGCTGAGACCACCGATATATAACATAAAAATCACACTCCTGTGGGAGGCAGTTCAGGGCCTGAAATTGGAAACCCATCTTGAATCTTGTACATATACTGATGTTAAACATCTAAACTGCTTGATTTGCCTAGCTCCCAAACTACTCTCCTGTGTCCCCTTTAAATTGTAAAGAATTCAGCCTCTCTTAAGACCATGAGGGGATGAGTTGTCTAACTGTATGACCCCAGCTACTCTTCTCTGTCTGTCTTTTCATAGATGTAAGCGTGCAGTTAAGTGCAGCCCAATCACACTGCTCCCTACTGGAGAAACAGCTGGATTACATGAGGAAAATGGTTTTCAGTGCAGAGCAAGACAAGAAAATGGTTTTACAGCAACAGGTGAAGCTGTTTAATGTAACATATGGAGCAAAGTATTAGGACAATATTGTAGAAAGATTAAGACTTTAAAACCTGTGCTTTCTACGTGTCACTTCTCCCTCCTTCCCCTGCTGTGTGAGTTGGTAGTGACTAAAAGTGATTACAGTGTGGGGTGACTGATCTGTGAATTGCACAAAATGGTCCACTGGCTTTGGTAAGGTTCTTAGTAAATAGGCACATGCCATTGGGAAAAGGCAGGTATACTTTAATGGAGGCAGCTCTTGGCAGATCAGATGTAAAGTGGCCAAGGACTGCAGGAGCAACATGACACAACTTGTTTTCCTAATTCTAAAAGTTTAGGTCTAGGAAAACTAGCAAATGCCTTCCCTTACTAATCCACATTTAGGCAAATACAGAGATACTGAATATTTGCTGCTGCAGGTAGTGTGGAGCCCTAGACCAGGGCTAACTGGTGGCCTACAGGCTGCATATGGCCGTCAAGCGGTTAATATGCAACCCGCCCGACCCCAGGGCTTCTGCCCTAATGCTGCTCCCACTGTTCTGGCTGCTGCTGCACCCAGGGTTTCAAGGCTCCCTGTCCTTCTCTCAGTTTTCACTTCCTGCTCTGACTGCAGGAGGCAAGGCGGCCCAATCCACAGCACCTGTGCATGCAGTTGAGGGCAGGTGGAAGTGGGTGCTGTCTGTGTGTGGTCCTTGCTAGTGTGGCCCCCAGCCACTTAAAGGTTGGACAGCCCTGCCTTAGACAGTTATCTTTTAGTTTTGCGCAGTAGAGCTGATAGATCTTATTGAAGCCCAGCAGTAGCTCTGCTGTAGGCCTGTTGCTGCCTATATTCTGCACATTGGGTGGACAAACTGACTGCTTGAAACTGAAGTCAGCTTTGTCTTTACAATATTTCATGGCCTGGAATTTCATATGTATACTTGTAAGCTATTTAAACCAGTATACTGTAGTGTGTTCTTTTTTAGTGTCTGAAAATATTTCAATCGATGCCAAATTTAATTTTGGCTTTCTTTTTCCAGACCCAGCTTCAAAAGGAGAAAAATCAGAATCAGATGGAGCTACATGCAAAACTTGAAAAGCTTGAAGTACTAGAAAAAGAGTGCTTCAAACTTACCACTACTCAGAAAACTGCAGAAGTAAGCAAGCCTGAGGTGACAATCTGCAGTTACAGTTCACTTCAGAAGACTTTTTGCAAAGGTTACCAGTTGCACTAAGTTTCAGAGAGTATCTGTGATGCCGGTACTCCTTCAGTGGAGCTCGGATCACAAGATTTGTTTTTCCTGGCTCTTCCTGTATTAGCCTTATTTCCTACAGGTCTTTCAGTTCTGTCCTACAAAATTCTTTCAGTTTGGTTTGTCCAAAATTTGAAATAGTTTACACTTTAGTACATTTTAGTTGAACAGTCTTGTATCTTCCTTTGAGGTCAAGATCAAACAGTTGGAGGAAAAGCTTCGTGAAGAAGAGCATCAACGTAAGTTAATACAAGACAAGGCTGCTCAGGTAAGATAGCCCATTTGACTATTGCGGAAGAAGTCCATTGCCTTTATTCAAGGCGCTTCTTTTTTTTCTTACTCATTTAGTTAGGGTGAATTATTTAGCATGAATTATACAAAACGACAAACTTTGGTTTGACCTAGTGAAAAAGTATTTACACAGTTTCTGTAGATGAGGATGTGCTTTGTGTCATGCGCAGAGAATACAACTCATTCACCTCAAATGTCTGAGAGTCAGGAATGAACTTCCTGATAACTTGTAAGTACATCAGGTAATTTTAACTCTAATTAATGAGCAGACGGATTTTAAGAAATATGGCTTCCAAAATCAGGTGTCTTAGAGGGGAAAGGAGGAGTGTCTCTAGTTATCTTAATGGAATGAGTGTCCCTTCCAACTTCACATGTAGTTCATACATATTGAAAACTAATACAGCAACTCCTTGCTTAACATCATAATTATGGTTTTGAAAAATGCGACTTGAAATGAAATGATGTTAAGTGAATCCAATTATGTCACAGTAATTACTTACTAGCAGGTGGTGACCAAACAATGTTATAGCCATACTTTGCATGACTTTAAATGAGTATGTTCTCTAATAGATTAGCGATGTAATAACAAAACAGTGTTAACCAGCACGAAATTAAGTGAGGTGTACCTGTACATTTGACTGCTTGAAGACTTCATAGTTATGATTGTCACTATTAGTCAGTGACGGTTTCTTTAGCAGAATCTGAAAAAAAAGTGTTTCCTATGGAGAACTGCATAAAGAACTTCCTGTGCTGTGAGTGGGAGGGTGGGGTAGATGGAGTGCTCAGTTTTGTTGCATGGTGTGCCATTTACTCATCAGGAACAAATAAGCAACAGCAGCCATTTTACAAGTTCATCTTTGTTATGTCCTCTCAGCCTCTCTCTGCAAGACTAATAAAAGGTAACAAATGTTTTGTAGAGGGTAATACTTTGTGGGATGCTCTGTAACAAGAGTACAGGAGTTGAATAAGTACTGAAAGAACCTAAAAATAAGTGAAGCTGGCATTTTTAGCATCTTTCACCACTGCTGTCACCTCCTGTAGCAGTTATGATGCAACTTCACTGACTTCCATCTGTCAGAAGACAGAATAAGCCCACAGATTGCAACCCATATGTCTTCCCACTAGAACTTCACTGAATGCCACAGTCCAAAAAAATACACAAACTACTGTGTTTCTCTTAGAACACGTTTTACTGCCACATGAGCAGAAAGTCCAGTAGGAATGTCTGATTGTCAGAAAATGGTGAACTAATTACTGTTGGCAAGTGTCTGTATCACAACTTTGCCAGATAGACTCCTTGAGCTCAAGAAACGGCTTTTGTGCAGTAGTCTGAATTGTCTGCTAATACTGGAGTTCTCTTACTCTACGCCAGCTTTGTTAAGATGTGGCTGTGGGATGGGAAACATCATCCTTTATTTGTCACTTGGCATATGACCTCCTCAACCTTCTCTTTCTTCATGCTGATTGAAGCACCTAGCTGTAGTCTGAGCATCTTATCATTTAGCCAGGTCTTATATATTCAGATATGAGGCCCTTTTCTTTCAAAGCCGAAATGGTAGCAACTTTATCAGATGCTGGCTCTGTATCTACAATATTAATTGTAGAGCAATATCTAGAAAAACGTTGTCTTGACCAATGAAAGTGATGCTAAATGTTGCACACATGGTCTAGGATCTCCACTCTTCCGCTGTTCTGAGTCACAGGGATTAAAAGGGATCATAGTTCCACAAAGTCTCTTTTCCACTACAAAATTAAAGTATCTTAACAACCAAGCGGTGATAGTTGAAAGGTGCACCTGCTGCAGCTAGATTTGGAAATGGAGACTTTTGAAACCATACTGGAAGACCTCCACTCTTTATCACATCTCACACTGTTGAATCCCCATGCTTCCTCCTTGCAAGGGTCATGTCTGTAAGAAGCATAGTAATTCCCATAATTCATTCCTTCCCTCATGTGGATGAAGACCCAATTGAACTGGGCTATTTTAGCGTGTTACTTTTTCTTCTTTTTTTTTTTTTTTCTTATAGCTTCAAACAGGATTTGAGATCAATAGAATTCTGATGTCTTCAGTTTCATCTCAAAATGAACCAAAAAGGAAAAATAGGAAGAAGAAAACAGTAAAGGTAACGTGACAGGTGCTGCTGGCACCTGGGGGTCTTGCTGGAGTAGACTTTGATCCACATGATCTCACTGGAGAAGATGTGGAGGGAATTGTTCTATCCATTCTCTGCATTCCGTTGCTGACTTCTGAGATATAACCAGCTGCATAGCTTTCTTTATAGAGAACTAAGGTGTTTAAACTAAACCCAGGTACATAAGACATGGTATTGCCGGAGAAATATACGCACCTGGTCATTTGGGCTGGTAATGAAAGGAGGATGCTATCCACGTTGCTCCCTTGTGTACTCCTGGGTATAAAAAATGATATACACCTTAACTACATGAGCCCTGTGACTAATATGGACCTTTGGCCTTGACTGACTGGTATTCAAAACAACTTGATTTAGAATTTTTTTTAAGACAAGGTAGCAAGTGTTTTACTGAAGTCCAGTAAAAATCACTCACTGCAGCTACCAATGCTGCAGCTCTGTTTAAAAAAAAAAAAGAAATGGGGAAAAAAACCCCTCTAATTCAGAATTAATACTGGATTTATTTACTTTTAACTCAGTCTACTGGTGACTTGTCCAGTTACCAGTTACGTGAATCTGTTTGGGTAGCCTTTACTTGTCTTAATGTTGAGAATTTTTCCTATACTGGGGAAAAGCAGGCAAAGATGTAATGCCCATTAAAGAGACGGATTGAAAAGCTATATTTCAGTGGCTATTCACCTGCAAGTTTTGTATACAATGCCTTGCTGCTGAAATGCAGTTTGTCCTTGTTCTCACTGAGAGGTAAAAACCTACTGATATTTTTATTTATATTATGACAACTCCCTAAATGGATTACTCCATGTCTGAGGTTCTTTTGTGCTAGATACTGTGTTGTCACCAAAAAAAAGTTAATCTGTGCTCCAAAATGCTTCCAGTCTTATTTGTTAGAGTAAATTTAAAATTGCTTGGTTCAGTAAACTCTGTTTCTTCCCTGTTCCTGTCGCCTGTCTGTTAGAAAAACCCTAGTCTCAAGAAAGTGACTCCACCACAATTTTATGTTAAGACTGGAGTGCTGCCATTTGTGGCTGGGAAGGTGAGTCTGAGTGACTACATACTCTCACTAAACATGTCATCTTCTTTACAACGAACACTATTCATTCATTGCATTCATTATAGCTGCTTACAAAAGCTTACTCCTCTTTCTTAAGTCTGCCAGCTCCAGCCATTCTGTTAGTGCAAATGTACAAAGTGTCTTGCATATGATGAAACATCGCAGTCCATGCATCTCATCACAGCATCCAGAAAAGGCTGAACGCAGAGTTTCCAGAAGAACTATTGCTTCCAAATCGGTGTCATCGTGTTCCACATCTTCTTCTGTCACTGAAAATCTTTCTGACCTTTTGTTGGCAATACAGGATGAGCTGGGTCAAATGAGCTTGTAAGTATGAATCCAAGAACTATTTTCCAGAGGACAAAAGAAGTGTGGTGCTGTGAGCACACATGACTTCCAGCTACAGCCCTACAGGAGTTGCTGAGATGTTATACTAGATCTAGCTTTTAACGGTATAAAAATACTTCTGGATGGGGTTTGAAGGGTACCTGGCAAGTAAAGATTTGTTTCTTTGGGGAGGTTTTTGTTTTGGGCTTGTGGGCAAAAGAAGGTCTGTTACCTTTTTTTAACCTCGTCTCTTCCAAGCAGAAGTAACAACTTAAAATTCAGACTGAAGGATCCCCTCCTCCTTAGCCCTGTGATGCACAATAGGAAAGTCTCTTAGTTGAGGACTATTTCCCCTGAAAAGTAGGGATGCTGTTCACTTTGCCCTTATTGGAAAGGTATGTACTTCACAGTTAGTCCAAGTGATTGGTACCTGGGTCAGGGTGCAGGTCAGCCCCTAGACTGAGTAGAAGCATCACCCTGCAAAGTGCTGCTTGCATACTGTATTCTCATTGTTTCTGCACTTGCCCGTGTATCTGAAGGTGTATCCCATGGTTCTCTGTGTTCTTCTTTTCTTCTATTCTTTCCCTGTTAATTGCAGCAAAATTTGCTGGTCTTTTAAAGGAGTTTCATAGTTTCTAGGGTCGGAAGAGACCTGAGTAGATCATCTAGTCTGACCCCCTGCCATGGCAGGAAAGATTACTGGGGTCAAACGACCCCAGCAAGGTGTTCATCTAACCTCCTCTTAAAGACCCCCAGGGTAGGGGCCAGCACCACTTCTCTTGGAAGTTGGTTCCAGATCCTAGCTGCCCTGACCGTGAAGTAGCACCTCCTGATATCTAGCCTAAATCTACCCTCTACCAGCTTGTGACCGTTATTCCTGGTCACTCCTGGCAGTGCTCGGGGGAACAGGGACTTGTATTGTTGCGGAATTGTACTGAGAAATGATCAGGTCTTGAATGATCTTGTGGTCTAACTGTTCTGGTCTGAGCTAAAACACAGCTTGGGTTTTAATTAATGTCTCTAGATTGAAAAGCAAGCATGGATTCAAAGCACAACTAAGAAAGTACTTGAGGGTTTTGTGTCCTGGGGGCTGAGGAGGTTGGCAACACTGTAGAAATATTGGTTAAAACTACATTGTAGATGCACCCACTTGGACTAACTAACAAGGAACTGTGGTCTGGAATAGAAGCAGGTTGTTAGGCCAAAAAAAGACTCCTTTACTTGTTTGAAACCCTTGGTTTCTTGTCAAATCTGTCAAGTCCTTGATGCTTGGAGCCACCCACACATACTTAATAAATGAATTTTGAAATGCATATGGAGGTTCAGAAGACCTGGGTTATAAATAATACTGAAATTAGAATTGTGGGTCCTCCTTTTAAGGGAGGAAGCATTGGTTTAATCTAAACTGCTTACTGCTTCATAGCCATAAGTATGCAAAGAATTGTTTTTGTATTTGTGCTGTTTGGATGAAAAACTGCTTTATAGGAGCAACTGGGCTGGAGAAAACAATTGTTACCCATTTTCAACAGCACTTGCAATGTGCTAAGCATTTTACAAGCATAAAAGAAGTCATGGTCCAAGCCATAATGATGAATAATCAGAAAGCATGTTATTGTTTATAACTGGTGCACAGTTTTACTCTGTCTGTTAGGCAGCTAGCTCTAGCCCATTCTTTGTCTTGTTTGTAGAATGAAATAATTGGCACCTGTATTTTACCACACTGCTTGCCAGGAATAACAAGCCTTGTTAGTGCTGTTCCTGTTGAGTAAAAGCCTTAATTTGACTAATTTGTTGGAAAAGACTGTGGCTTCCATTAGGGATCCTAAAATGAGGTTTTGTGGATTAAACTAAACTCTGACTCTGAGATAATTTGGGTGGGCGTTGGGACCAGTACTTTGGGTTTGTACTGGCTCATTATTTGAACAGGATTTTTAATTTCTTGCATTCCAACTTCCCACTGTGTATGATGCTGCCATGCTCTCAAACAGTTATGGTTATTATTTGTTACTCTGGAAGTGGCTTGCAATACATATACAAAAAAAGCACATTCATTGATTACAGACTTATGGAAAAATGGGACTTTTTATCACTGTAGTAGTACTTGCCTAGGATGTTCAGACTACCTCTGTGTGAAGAAATGACTGATATTTTATCTCACAAAGAAACCTCTTAGAATTTAAACTCATTCAGTAGATTAAAAGTGTAAGAGAAGAATGTTATGGAAATATCCCACAAACACTACATATATAATATTTTTCCTTCTAATCAGTGAACATCAAGAGCTATTGAAGCAGATACAGGAAACTGAGAACTGTAAAGTTCGCGAAGACCTTGAACGTGAATTGGATTGTCTGGTAAAGCGAATGGAGATTAAAGGCGATCAAATATCCAAGTTGAAAAAACACCAAGCCAGTGTAAGGAAGTGAATCTTAAATAGTTTAATTAAAGGGGAGAGGAAATACTGCAATGGAGTTATTTTTCATCTATTGCCTGTATTTTAAATCTTGTTGACACCCACAGGCCAGTATATTCAAACATGAATGCCTAAAATTTTGCAACTAATTCAGTGTCTATTTGCCTCCAATTCGTATCTCTGAAATCAGTTCACTTGTGTATATTTTCATATATGGGTGCCTAAACAATGCATGTGTGCGCGCACACACACTATATATGCATTTGGGAATTAGAACCAGTATTTTCAAATATGGATGCCTAAGTAATGCACACACATATGTATATATGTGGACACACACACACACACACACACACACACACACACACACACACACACGTGTACATTGTACATGTTTTAGGCACACATATTTGAAAATGCTGGTTCTAATTCCCAAATAAGCTAACATTTCCCCTTTGAAATGGGCTGGGTGGGGAGCTGGTCTGGGGCTGGGACCTTGATGCAGGGACAACATGGTCCAGAGCTGGGGCAGAATTG